AGTGTTCTCTATCTATCGGTGACGTTTTCAGAACTCAAATATAGCTCCAAAGTAAAAATAAGATCGAAAAGATAAATCGATTGGCGTACGGGTATAGCACGATTTTTTTTCTTTCGCGGTTTTCTAGAAAAACCCGTTTTTTCAGCAAAAATCTACAGAATCGCCCCCATTTCTCAGGCTTGGTAAATCCGATCGGGGTGAAATTTTGTTTTACAGATAGTAGAGACACTTTAGGGAGGCTACTTTTTTTTTATTTTGAAAAACATTGTACAGCTGAGTTTTGGCAGGTCTTACAAGAGAAGCACTGTTCAAAAAAAAATGCGTTTCTTAGGGCGCATTTCGTATTTTGACTTTTTTATTTAAACGGCACGAGATAGAAAGAAATCAAAAAAAGTAGCTCCCCTAAAGTGTATCTACTATCTGTAAGAAAAAATTTCAGTCCAATCGGATACACTGTGCCTGAGAAACGGAGCGATTTGAGGGTCGATTTTTAGTCATTGTGACCCCAATATCTCCTAGAAAGAAGCATTTGTGAATTTTGAATCTATGGCAACTTTTACTCTACACATCAAGATCTATTAGATGTGAAAGTTTCGAATTTTTCTGACTAGCCATTCTCGAAAAACCCTGGAAAGGAGGGGAGGTCCCCTTAAGCTTATTATATCTGTCATTATCTACTTTTTTATATGAATTCTACATAAGAACAGGTTATAATCTCATTATTGATGGATTCATAGTACATAATTAGTCAAAAATATCTCTAAAAAAATGCTGCTTCAAACAGTTGGAAAAATTTTTACTTATTGCCAATCATCTTCAATCGAATAATATTTAGATTATGAGTTAATAAAGGTATGTGTCAGGAGAAGCTGAAAAAAAAGCAATAGCATAGTGAGATTGGTAAACCAACGTATACATCTATTGGAGCATAAAATGCACACTTTTAAAAACCTAGGAAATTTCGAAATCCGTGGTTTTTTTGTTAAGCTTGGAACTTTCCCAGAAGGGATAGTGTTATACAATGGAGCATGTCACAGATTATTTAGCTTACATATTTACAAACATGACTCTGCATATCAGTTGAAGTAGGTAAAAAACTCAGCATGAGATGTATGATGATGAATTCAGTTTTTCATTTTGCTTTTTTTTATGAAGAAGAACGGAACCACATAGAAACATTCTTTAAATTGTAAATGATAGAGAAGGGATAGATTTTCATTCAGATGAATATAAATATATGTATTAACACCCAACAGATCATTCGATAGGCATTTCGATGTATTGATTTTAGTTGCCAATGAGTATCGAAATCCGATATCGAGCCATTGTATTCCCACTTTTTGATAGGTCGAAGGCTCGATATTAGATCATTTTAACTTGCAGATTTTAACCACCCAAACAATTGTTTTCGAGGGAACCCAAGATTTGATTCGATAGATACCTCACTCTAGGGTCGTTGAAACTTAGTAAATATACCTGGAATAAGAGATTCGAATATAGACCTTAAAATTGTCTTCAGCAAAATTTATTTTAAATATAAATTCTGATAATTTAAATTTAAAAATAAATTTAAATTATGAATAAAATTTAATTTATTTTAAACTTGATTACCGATGTTTTAAGGTCATTTAAATCAATAGCAAAATGACAACTCTACGACCTTACTCCTTCCACACTTACCTACACCCCACTCTTCAAAAACAAGCACCCTCACCAAGGGAAGAAAAGCAGATTTCAAGATTTCAAAAGACTTCAATTAAAGAAAATCTGCGTGCTCTAATAAATCTTTACTTGAGAACTGATCCAGCCTCATTTTATGCGCTTTACGATGTGACTTATTCCCTCTGCTGAAGAGAGGATCTTATAAGATAGAACGAATTTATGGCTATGCTTTTATGTTTCCATTCAAATATCTAGTCACATATTCGCATGTATTGGTATAATCTTTAGCGTTTGATAAAAGGCAATCGAAGTCAAGAAATTCAAATCTGTAATTGATTTCTCAAAATTTCGAACTTGATAATTTACATTCAGGAAAGGATTTCTACAAAAATGACTGCTTTTTTTTTATAAAATTTTAACAAAGATAATTATCGTCGAGAAACTCAAATCTTCAATTAGTTTCTAACTATTCGTAATTTTGATTCCTCTTTGATACAGCTCATTGTTTCTCCGAAGTACTGCATGCCTACCCAGAAATCAAAGATATGAATGTCGCGAAGCCTATTACAGATTGAGATTGTTCGATCGTACTTACGTTTCGTCAAACTTTATAAAATCGTTGTTTTCTCAAGATGACTTTTTCTGGATGGAAAAAACTGAAACTAAATGGTATTCGCCTCAAGCCTATCACTTCATCATTTAATTTTAATTACCTAGATTAAGTATTAGGTGGAAAAATGTTAAACTCAATATTAAATTTTAGGCTTTATATTAACATTCAATACAAACTATGCCCGTCATCATGACTCGCTTGACCGTCCACTAAATCTGACCTGACCTTCGCCTCTTACTACTTACTAGACTCTGTTTTGCGAACTGCCGCTCGACAACGCACTCATATAAAAAGAAATGTTTATTATATTGCCAAACACGGTCCTTTTGCAGAGAGATCGTACTTATCTTTCTATTTTCTGTTGACATTTACTAAAATAAACCTTAACGAATAGCTCGCATCCGTTCGCCGACACCCCTAAGCGGTGCCAATCTGAACTCCTTGATTTACTGTATGACTTGGGTTTAATTTAAAGTGCTTCATTTTCTCATTCAGCACATTTTTAGCAGTACAAAGAAATCAGTGAAAATACATTTCGTGTTCTCATGTTGACTGTTAAATGCATATAATAAATATAATAAGAAGATTAAGAAGTTTAACGCAATAGAATCGACATTTTAGTTGGTATAGTGGAAATAGAACTCACAACTATGTGATACTAACTCTTATGGGCTCTATTCTGGCAACTTTTTTCAATAGTCCACTCGTCGGAATTGGGAAATTGTTATATTAGATCTTTTTCTTTTGATATTTGAAGCATCGTAAAATTCTTGTTCCTCAAATTCTCTGAAACAATAAATGACATGATTTCCTTTGATAAGTATGACCTCTCCAAATTATTGTTGCGGCAAGCAGTGGAGACATAATGATGTTCTTGGTTCGGCACTCTTCTGATCGAGATTCATTAAATAGTTTATATACAAACAACATTTATTCTATGGATCTGCTGACCTTTTTCTACATCAGATAACGATGTTGCTCCACTTTAATAAAGGAGTGTTACTCGAAGTCTCATCATAGTTATCTAATCGATAATGTTCCCGTTTGCTGCACACAGTAACTTCCATTTTCATGTAAGGTCTTCTTCTGTCTAACGCAAGAGGTTTTGCTTGAGGTCAGCTGTTATGATTATTCTAAGTTTGATTCTCTATTTCTATATCTTTCTTCCGTATAAAAACTTACAATACCATATAACAAGAACTACTTCGTTAAATCCTGACAAAAATATTTTCTTCGCTTTGAATACAGCTTTGAGCATCCTTACTAAAATTTCATTCAAGGATGTAACATATTCATTTCCACAAGCATTTTTCAAATAAAATAGAAAAGTATAAAACTTAAACAAAAATCTTGATGTCCAAACAATCGATATAGCTAATAGAAAGGAAAAGTGATCGAAGTAGTTTGGATTAGTATTCCATACAACTTATGAAAATACGCCAGATGTTCAATAGTTCAAATCTGAACTGGGCTCCCTGGTGAACTTCCTAAGAGGTTGGGTGTGGGTGTTTGTTTTGGTATGGATGAGGCGTGAGTGCCAGTGGTTGAAGTTTTTTTTCAAACCCATACTCATACCCAGAGCCACTCCCATAACCACCCTCACGCACCCACATCCACGCCCACCCTCATCTCTACACCCACACCCACACCATCTCTAATATAAGCTTTGATACATATTTATCTCCTCTTTCGAATGACGACAACCACAGAACGATATCTTATACGTATCAAAATTATCCCCAAAATACTCATCCTTCTTTTACTTTGAAATTGGTAATAGGTGTGAATGCATATTGGAATAAAAAAAATGTCACTTTTTTCTACTAAAGGTTTTGTTGTTTAAACTGTATCTGATGTTCAACCTAAATATGCCAAAAGGTGCAGCGCGTTCTGGACTTTCTTTCTATATATAATACGTTAAAAGATGAAAGAAATATAGTAATAAAAATTAAAAAAACCAAAGGGGAAAAATTCAATTGGCCCTTATAGTAGTGTTGATCACGTAATCATTCGATTTGACTCCCTCTTCCTACGTGATTTTTTGCGATATTTGCGGCATCCTTCACCCTTCCTCAACTGACCACGTGATTTCAGAACAGCCTCTGAGGTGTATTAACAAATGCATAATAGCAAACACTAAACATAACTCTTTTTAACTTGTTTCAATACTGCTTCTTTTTTTTGTACTTGGAAAAAGAACTTTAGTTTAACATTTCATTAAATTCTATAATCAACAAGTTTATCATCTGTCTAGTTTTCATCATATTGTTTTGCCACTACAAAATAACATCAAAACCAACATATATTATCTGCAAATATTTAATCAAGTTGTTAATAGCTTTCGATCATAAAAAGGGTGAAAAATTTTTCATCGTATTTATTCGAATATATATTGATTAGGTGAATAATTTGGTTTACCTATCAGCAACCACTCTGTTATTCATATTTTCATATCAATAAAAGTAACAGAACTGAATATTTACACACAGTGATTTGGATTTTTTTTATTTGTCTTCATATACTTTCACAACTTCGTGATTCTGAATAAACGATTATTGCAATATTTATTTTTGTCCAATATTATCATTAGAGAGAAAAAATACTTCAGAACAGAATGAAAAAGGAAAGAAAAAATTAATATGAATAATTCTTTAGAAAACAGAATCTATAAAAGGCGACGAAAAATATCAATACCACACTCAAATTTCTTTCTAATTGTTACACAATGCGTATCGCATTTGCAGGTAATTTATTGTATAAATTCTTATCAAACACTTATTTACATTTATTCATTTTTGATTTCTTTAGTATTTTTTCTATTAATTGCACATGTTGCTAGTTATCCATCATTACGTGAAGTTGCAACAAATGATGAAGAAAATGAGAATGATTTACAATTAGAACTTCGTTCGATTTTAAATTATCTTGATAATGAACAAATGGAACGATCTGTTCGATCAAGTAAGGAGAAAACTTTTATTGAATCATTTTTTAATAAATTAATATCTTAGATGAAGATAAACAAGAAGACGATTCTGATCAAAATCAACGTGCGATGAACAAACGACAAGGTGGTTATAATGTAATTAATCAAGATCTTAAATGTGAAATCGAATGTGTTGATAAATTACGAAATCCCGAAAAAGGTCAAGGAATGTCAATTAAAAATGCAGCTAAAGCTTGTAAAAACATTTGCGTAACCTCAAGCAAAAAACGTGAACAGAAAAATAGCATTGTACAACAAAAGCAACTCCGAGAATTTTCTAATTATCTTATGAAACAAATGCAACTTAATGACAATGAATAAATATATATATATATATATATATTAACATAAAAAATATTCTAATTATCTATGAAATATTTCTCGAAATATACATCACTTTTATATTTTCTCAAAAGATTTTTATTGCATGATGTATTGCTTTATGTATAGGCATACATATAACTGCTTTGTTTTTATTCTAACAGTGAAATATATAGAATCATTAATAAATATTAAATATCGTTCAATATAAAAGTGTATGTAAAGTGCTGAACAGAGACCGAAAATGAACCGAACTGAATCGAATCGAACCGAACTCGAAACGAGCAATCTCGATTCGATCTGAATCGGTAATAGTTCTGAGTTTTTAAAAGTCGTCTTATATACTCAAAAAAAGTACTTCCACTTCTCTCAAACGGGTCAATAGTTAAAGAGTAGTTAAAATAAGCAATTATCTGCCATTAGAATAATAATACACAGCTTTTTAAAACTATTTTTTGTTAATCCGATCAGAACTCTACTGGTACGGGTGTGGGTGTAGGTGTGGGTGGTGAGTGTGTCGGTGTGAGTGTTGGTGTTGGTGGGTCTTCGCGTTCTATAAATATACACCCACACCCTTTTAAAAATAAATATGCCATATGGAAATTCTGGTATTGATAATATTCGTAAGTTGGATTTGGATAATTCAGATTGTATTATCGGAGTTTTATATTTCAAATCACTAGTAAAAGAAAAATAATATAAATTAGATAATCATGATAACATAGGCTTTAATTGTTCAATATTTTTTTCTTTTAAATAAATCAATGATAATGACCGAAGATTAATAAATTCATTTAATGAAAATAAGGAGAGAAATTCTTGAGTTTGGCTATGTGTATCTTTATTTGATAATTTTAATGAAATTATTTTATGTTTTATTTCGGGATTTTATAATATTATTTGACAAAATTCATTAAATTCTGATATTTTGAATTGTTGAAAATCCAAATGTACTGAAATGTTTCGAATAAGTATATAAAAACGATAATTTAATCGATTAAATGAATAGAATATATATGGTGCATTCAAATATTGAAAACATTCAATGAATATTTCATTTGGTAATAATTCAAAGTTCATTTTCATTTTCTATAGAATGAATTTTCGATGTTGAATAAGATTTGTTTACTTTTCTATATTATTTATATATGTTATATCAAAGTTACATCAGTCGATCAAGTTATAACTTCGTCAACAATTTTGACCAAATTACAACTTCGTCAGACAATAATGACAAAATGATTTCAGATCAATCAAACATCATATCATTTTATAAATAAACATAAGAGAAATTAATCAGAAAAATGAAACATTACGTTTTTTTAATACTTTGAATAGTTGTAGATCTATTCAGTCAACAATTAGCTTGTAACTAGTGAAATAAGTATCTAGAATATTACGCTCTGGTATGAACAACATTTTAACTTTAAATTAATAAGAAAAATAATTTATACAGAAATAATTTTAAATGTTTACTAGACTTAGACTCAGACTGAGTCAAAGAGAGGCTTCACCTAACTGAGTGTGAGTGTGGGTGTGGCTCGTGACTTCACCTACACCCACACCCACACGCCGAACTTTTTCAGGGTATTCATAGATCATTAGGGCCTACATGATGGTCATACTCTCGACTCAAAAGCGATGTGACACTTGGAAATGTTTCCTCTTCAGACTTGTTTGATCTTCAACAGTCATCGAACTCCGCTTGATTCATTACGATCCATGCCATGCAGATGACAGCCACCAACACCAAGGAGACAACCAAGTAAATCAATTGGCTGATCTTTCGCATTGTCCTTTGTTGCTATTCGATGTTTGAAGAGAAAGTAATAGATGAAGGCACTCAAGTGTGAAAATGGTATAGTCCTATAGTTCTGCTTCAGTTTTATATAAAAGTCGGTCACAGAACAAGGAAACATGTACAACGAAAAAAAAGTGTGCTTTTCATGAATGGAGAAAAACAGATGTCTTTTTTTCTCACCAAGAGACAGCCCATGCAACTTGTTTTTTAATTCATTTGACATAGAGTGGTTTATTCGATTTCGATTTGATCTTAAAAGAGAAAGCCGTTAGCCCAATCCATATGGCATTAAAATGTAAAACATGATATAGCTGGGGTGTGGGTGTTCATTTATCCTTATCCATACCCATACCCATACCTAATTCTTTATTTTTATCGATTGAAAACAAAAATCTGAAAGTATCTACCATGAGTAATACTGAAGACATGAGCACGGTTGATTACAGTTTAACTGAGCAGTCAAAATAAATGCTCGGGCATGACTTAAATGATCAACATTTTCTTTCAAAATGACAAATAAAATCAATCTTTTATCCAATTACAATCATGTGAAATACAAAGCATTGATTAAAAAATTTTGTGGAAAATTTTAATTCAAGAAGTGTTAATTTAACATTTTAAGCAATAAGACCAAACGTCATCAATTACATTCTTTCTTAAAAGTTTTCTTCAATATCTTGATCATAAACAATCAAATCAAAAATAATCAACATCATTAAGTCCATCATTAA